GGTGAATGCGAAAAGTGAGGACGAGAAAAGATGAGGATTATTTATAGAGAGGGCAGAGAAACCCCAGCCCTCAGATTAAAGTCACTCTCAACGGCTAAGATGATGCACAGAATACGAAGCGGTGGAGAGAGAAAGTGTCTTATCTTTTGAATTTTGAAATTTGAAAAGATCCAGACTTATCCAATCAGTCCGAAATACGAGTGGGTGAACACCACTTCGCAAGTCGCAGAAACGACCGGGTACAATTTAGGGCAACGACATGCGACAGGATATGAGAAAAGACTCGAGGAAGACACTCGACCGTCCAGAACTTACTCTTAAGCTCAGAATCGCTTCGAGTAAATTTTGGGTGGGACTAGATGATATAGCCACATTGGCTCATAACGGTTCGTATCATCACGGTTCGAAACTATCAAGTCGACTTCAACAAAGTCGACTCCGCCAGTAAGGCTCCACGATACTCAGTCAAGAATCCCGGCTCTCGACTGAGTCGACGTACACCTGTCGACTAGAATAAGTCGATTTCTACCAAGACAATGGTCAGACGTATCAGGGTCCATTAACGGTTGAGTGCGATCCAGTCGACTCGACTCAATATCTCAGGTCGACTGAAGGAGTCTTGCAGTTCGTAGTCCTCGATAGCTTTGATACACCTCAGCGTATTGAGGGAGAGTTAAGGATAAGAAGGAAGCTAAGGAAGGATCTAGATGCTGACTAGGAAGTAGGCAGAATACGAACCGACCAGGGTATTCTGGACATTTCCAGTAAGTCGGCCGGGGCACTTTGGGGACTTCAGGTAAATGTTGCACTTCTATATAAAGGACTGAGGTAATCCCAAAACCCTAACTCCCATTCATTCTATATTCTTTTCATTACTGCTGCTGCTCTCAGAGCAGCTCTCTTCATCTCTTTCATATACTGACTTGAGCGTCGGAGGCTCTACGCCGGAAACCCTTCCGGCGTTGAGTTCTTGCAGGTGTTCTTGTGGTTCGATAGCAATTTGTAGACCATCAGGACAGATCTGAGCTCGTTCTCATCGGTTCATTCCAGATCCGGGCGATTTTCCACCGGTTCACCCCAGATCCGGAAGTAGACCCATCAACTATAATATAATACATGTAAGTCGCACAAGTAACAAGTGTCATTCTAAAATATATAATAATATATTCTCATTAATTTTAAAATATTAATTTTAAAATTTAAGAATAATTATTAACAAGCACCCGTGTAATATACACACGGGCGTCGTAGTAGTATAATTATATATGAAAAACTATTATAATATGTGGGGTAATTTACAAGAGTGTCGAGTGTCATTTTAAATAAATTAATATTATAATTTTTTTACTAATAATATCTTCTTTATTTTTTCCTTTTTCAAAAGCATAGATGTATTTTTTTTTTTAATTTTTTTTTTATTTTTATTTTTTTGTTTTTTTAAGCACCTAGTGCAATACATGATTGTTGTATTCTTCTAGTGCTCATTAAATATAAGGTATACACATTGCATATTATTAATTAACAAATATGTATCAGAATTTTTTTTTTTTTGGTACAGGGACCTTCCGGTTTCTGGATCCACAGGGGAACCGACTAATCCGGAATCGAGCCGGGTAGGACCACAAGGGTGGCAAAGCTCTCCTCAAGAGTTTTAACAATGCTACATTCCCAGTGTTCGAACATGAAACCACTGGTTAAGCTGGAAGAGACCCAAGCCATCTCATCCAAGCGCTCTTGGGTAGTATTTGACTATACATATTGGACAAATGCACGACTTTGGTGCACAATGTATCGCTCCTTCAAAGCTCGAAGAGTGAAAGTGACCCCCAAAAGACTGAATTGCCCCTGCCTGGTATATTGTAAACATATAGTATACTGTTCCACCAGAATTGATACGTTTTGTGTTTATTTTATATTAGTAATTGTTTAGTAGCAACTTTCAGATATTTAAATTGTGGATAAAATGCCCTTCTGTCCCAATATGTCCATACACAAAAGTGTGGAAATAACAAATTATACTTACGAATTGGTTCGCAAGTAATTATACATAAGAATTTCAAGACGATATATAAGAATTATATATAAGAGCAAGTAGGATTTGGGAATCTGCCCCAGTTAACTGGGATGGCTTGCAGCATTGCACCTTCTCATTCAAATGTTGGTGGCAGTAACTAAGCTCCATAAAACAAAATGATGTTGTTAAAGCAAGGATTCAACTGTCCACCTACTTGCTTTGGTGGCTATGGAAATCGAGGAATCTCTGGATATTCAAAGGGTCTCACATGCCGGAGCACATAGTAATCTCTGCTGCACATAAGGAATGGTTGGAAGCTTCTATGGCTGCAGGACTTTATGCTGCTCCCTCTCATGGTTAAGGCATCTTGTTTGTTTTGTCTTTTGTTTTGGGTGGTCTTTCTGTTTTTGTTTTTTGGTTGAAGTGGTGTATTCTAGCTAGGCCTTATGGCAGAGGAGAGATGCATTTCTTCCTTTGTTTTGTAGTTTTCTAGTTTGTTAGTGTTTGAGGCTCTAGGTGCTTTGTGTAGCATCTCTCAGTATTTGTTTTTAGTAGGCTTTTGCCTCTTGTATTTGAACCATTTGCTTGGTTGATATATATATATAGCTCCTCTATCGTCTGGCAAAAAA